AACCTTTCTCCACTCTGTATCATTTTCTGTACTCTAGATGTCAATATACAGCTGGGTCAGATCAAATAATTGATTATTTGAACATTCAACCAGACAGTTGCTTGAATATTCAAATACTCAGTTTAAGTCACATTTTCAGACAGCCAAGCCTCTGGAGAAGTAATTTTTGAATAATACAAATAAATAAATATATTTATCATAACAATACTTCAGGATTAGTTGGTATCCCAAAGCAGAAGTATTATTTCCTGTTTGGATCAAGCTTCAAGAAGGCAATGTGGTTGCAAATAGTTGAGGTTTTCTCTTTTTATCTCACTCTACTGCACTTTTGGGAATTCAAATTGAAATATAAATATTGGAATATATTTGGCACACACCTAAATCAGTGTATGGAGTACACAGTGGATTTCCCCAACATGAAGTCTGCAATTCAGATATGCAATGTACCAATGCTTGGTCAGGACTTTTGACAAGCATTAGTTGTCTAAGAACATGAAGCGCTCCTCCAAAAACTACTGCTTATGAACACATGCTTATCTTTTGATCTTCGGCTTGAGCCTTGTGTAAACAGAACTGACCAAACCCAGTGCAGACAAAACGGATGGTACCACTTGACAGATAGGGCAAACCCATACAGTATCGTGCAATGTGTTACATGCATCAACAGGTATAAGACTTCGAAACCCATGTTCCTTTTATGTTAACTTCATTGTAAAAGTAGTCACTCTTAGGAATATGGGGTAATTGAAGAAGTACAGTGATTTCAATCATATAAAAAGAGGTCTTACTAACAGTTTTTCCCATGCGCACCGAAAATTTCTGCTGTCTCGATGCAACGTGGCCACCACATGCACGCACATGCACTATACGTACGTTGTGCACATATACACATGGAAGCTGATGGCTGAATGCACGATTTGAACTGTTATTTCATTGGTAGCAAAACATTGTTTCCATAAAGACGGGGTGAACAGCTAATGAATAGAAGAAACTACCCTACGATTGAGGAGGTCAAAGGTTCGCGCTAGCCTGAGTTATGGTCGGTTGAAGTTGGGAAGTTGAGCAGAAAGAGAGCATAAACGGAGAATTTAAATGCAAAATGACACCAAAACATGACGAAACTCCAATGTTGAACTAAAAAATGACGGAGTTAAATCAATGAATTTTGCCAACTTATAAAGATTTTTCAAAAGGAATGTATCTGGAGTTCATAATACTCAACTGAGGAAGCAAATATTTGACACGTTTCTGGGCTATGGTAGAAAAACTAGAAATGAGCACTGATTTTTCGAGGGTATTTCTGTTTGGACAAGCTGCGTGGTTCAGCGGTGCGTTGAAAATGAGCGCCAAGGGATTGATTTGTATAAAAGGCTCAGCCAATGACTTCTAGTCAAGTCCCTTCATGGGTACTGCACAAGGATGCTCCAGGCTGTCATTAATGTCCACTAAGGCCATGTGAATGAACAACCTTACCCTCCACTGCCCAAATGCTGTAATCGCCTATGCCCAAAAAAGGTCTCAAGTTTTTTAAATTCATTATTTTGAAAAACAATCTTCATTGATAGATAATACATGCATAGCATTTATTTAGCCCATAAAACAATATGTCCAGGGAGGAAGGGGGCTGGATGGTCTGCATGCCACTTGTTCTACCACCAGACAATGGCATCAGCTCATATATGTACTTGGGGGCACCAAGATTGAAGAGTTCCAAAGGCAACTCTTTTAGATGGCAATATCATTATTCCTGAAAGTGAGGCCTAAGGCTGTGTCTGAAATGGGCTTCCAAAGCTACAGTACACATCCATTGTCAGTGCTTCTCTGCTTATTAAAAATGATGTACATGTAGACACCAAGTTCTACAGTCCGATAAAGCCTGATGTTTCAGTTTCATGTGATGTAATTGGCCCATAGGGACACCATTCTGTAAAACCAACCAATAGGAGCTCCTGCAGCATAGTCTGGTCAATGGCCGTTGTCCAGTGAGATGTGCTGTGCTGATGTAATTTAAATCAGTTATCTCCCACGAGAATATTTCACTTTCCCAAGTTCTCATTGCAATTGGCCAACATTGTAAATAAACAATAAGCTATCAACGAGGGAGGGTTCCACACACAAACATCAGTTGACACCCCTGCACACTAAGACTGTACATTCTAAGTATTTCTCAGTAAATGCTACTCTCTATGGCATGCCGATGGCTGATATAACCCTGTACTCTGTAGGTCAAAAATTACTGATATCCCACGCACTCCGTAGGATAATGGAACTAAGTTCCACCTTGTTTGGTCATATCGGAACTTACGGTGGCAACATTTAGGTTAATTTATATCCCGCCATAAATTGAATACGATTTACAGAGCATGTACATTGGAAGAAGCAACAGTTGTATTTATAAAAACAAAGAAACGAAATAAAAATGAAGAAGCCTTTAACTTGGACGTTGTCTTCATTTCATTAAGTAGGCCTAGTACGCGGTCTGGGAGTCCACCTGGGCTACTTCACTAGCTGCCATTCGAACAGCATCCCGTTCACTGCCAGCAAACAAGGCTGTCTTCTCATGGTCAATGGACATGGATAACTGTGATGTGTAGTGGTCAAATATCGTGCTCATCTCAAGCTAATCAGCACAAAGACAGCACACAGAAAAGCACGTTTTTCCGAAGCGTAATTTATCTGTTGGCGCCGTGCGTAGTCACTTACCCACGCCGTGCGCGTCATGGTTACACTAGTGGAGCGCCCTCGTTAGACCGTCAGTTTGTATGGGGTTCACATAGGGTGCGTTCGATTAGCTTACACGTCTAAGTCAAACGTACACCAGAGCGTTCGTTTAGCCATCATGTGATCTTCGTGCCTGCTCTGGGTCAGCCACCAGCTGGCGAGCGGGTCTGTGGAGGCTGCCCGAGTGTCATGACGTCACGGATGGACTGTTCGTGCATATGTACATGATGGAATGTGGCGGGGACTTGACCTTTTTCCCAGAATGCCTTGGCGAATACACTGCAGCGTTCGATTCGCCTCATTTCGAGGCTTCCCTTGCGTGTAACACTGGTGTATTCAGGGAAGCTAATCGAACGTATCCATAATGGAGCAAACTATGGCTGAGTTCGGGCGGCTTGTTCCCGTATGTTCACGAACAGGTCGATTTGTTGTTCGTGGGTGGGCCACTCGAACGCCGGGAACAAATAACCGGTTATTACAAGCAACATGACGGGTCCATGTACGTTATTCGAGAGTTAAGGTTTGGATGGGCTGAATTCTTTTCTGTATGAACAGGAACATTCATTTCTGAGTTTCGGAAAATAATTAATGTTAATTTTGCAAAACTTCCCATTGTCCACATGGGCTATGGCTTTGAAAGCCATCCCTCTACTTTTTGCAGCTGTTCAAAAATCAAAATCTCACAAGTTTTCCGTGTGTTCCTGTAAAACCATGACGAGGAGGTAGTGTGTGATCCTGTTCCGAGAACAGTGTTCTTGAGTCGTGTTCCCGCCGTTCGAGCGCGAGAACAAGAAACCCGTGTCAAGAACAGGCCGCCCGAACTCGACCTATGGGAAAGAGAGAACGCCCGCCTTTGTGTTGGTCATTGTTACGCTGGTATCTCAGAAATTCTTTTCAGACATCATTGTTAAGTGACAAGAAGCTGGAGTGTGTATGGGGATTGGACTTGCTGAGGGGGTACTCCTCTGTCCCATTTCGTGCCTGGTATAGGGATTCAAGCTCAGTGTACTGGCCATGCATGGCGGGCGACTGGAGTGGGGAATGACTGGTGGCGTTTGGAGTGGGGAATGACTGGTGGCGTTTGGGGTAGCTGGCGACCATGTGACACAAAGGGCGCTGTTCATCAGTGGCGTTTATGAATCGTTGATGGGTCAGTAAGTTAAGAAGTTGTATAATCATGGAGGTAGGAAGAGATGGAATGAACAAGTCAAAGGTTAAAAAAGTCCATAAGCAATAATAAACTAAACAAAATACCTGGCGTCGCCTGGAGGTTACCAACTCAGAGGAGGCCATTACACATTGTACTTATTTGTAGTTAAAATAAGGGACGCTGGGGGGCTCCGCTGGTGAGGAGGGAGAGGAGTTACGCCACTGCCAATACTGGACAGATGTGTTTCCAAATGAAGTGGAGATCCAGCCATGTGAGAAATTTTTAATGCCTAGGGGCCTATACCTACAGTCAAGAAACATTGCCCTTTGTGTCCTTTGAGCGCCATAAAATTGGGTTTTGTGGGATCTATGCATTTATCTATGCCATAAAAATTCTCGTCATTCACTAGAGGCAAACTGAGGTTAACCGGCGAAACTGTGGGGCCTTTGCAAACCCATTTAACCTTTTTCATACTTTTTGAGCTTAACTCTGATTGATAATGGTACAAGACTTAATGATAGCTCGGCTTGACTCTGAAACGTCTATTTGTAACGAGGGTTCTTAAGATTACATGGGAAAAAATAACCGCTTTTTTGGGGGGGGGGTTACAAAACTGGGAGTTGATCCAAAAGCCCAACTCTCTGGTCTAAAAAAAATGAGGTAGGGGAAATGTACTTCCCATCCTTCGGAACTTACGCCCCCTAGTTGCAGCAACAGCCTTTTTACAAATTTTAAAGAATCGGACAATTTTGTTCAGTATAATATATCATGTATTTATTATTTAGTGAACGGTTGCGTGCAACTTAGAAAAACGCTGTAAAAATACTTGTCACGTTGTGCTCATTATAGGCTACGCTCGCACCTCAGACATGCTACATAATTGTATTTTCCTTCTCTCTCATTTCCTAGACTTAAGGTCATAGGGTCATAGTCACCACTTTTACAGTTTGGGAGCTATTGGGGAAAGTTTGGGCATCAAAGATCACAATTCGGCCCACTGGTGTCTGAAGATTGTTTCCCCAAGATGGAGGAGATTGGTGGCCAGCGCCCCCCACACACACTTTTTGCAGGGCCTATAAAGGGACGGGGCTTAATGGATCAGCCTATTAATGGCTGATGCCTGATGGTCTAACAACTGCCCCCTCCCACTTTGAAAATAGTTCCATCGCCGCTGGCTACATTTTCCCAAAAGTAAACCTTTTTTAACTTGGTACCCCGGTTTCTTCCCATCTGTTATCGCCCAAAATAATACATAAGTGTGTGAGTATATAGGCAAAGACTTCTAAACCCAACGTGCTTCAAGAATGACGGAAAGTCTGGAGGGTACCCTGACGAGTTCATATTTTCACTGTATCACGGCCAACCATTAAACAGTTACGGAAATCTGAAGGGCACATTCGAGCACGAATAAAACCAAATCAAAAGCATGTAGTTGTAAACAAAGGACAGAACTGTGAAACCTGCTTTTGAAGAGCGGCACTGGACTCCCGCCAATAGTTTCCCCATCATTTTTCGAACGCACAACTGCCGCAAGCTTGGGGGCCGTATCAGCTGTTGAAAAATATTACTGACAATATTGGCCACTTAAGTCGTCAAATCTTCCTTTTTAGTTTGTACCCTCTCGGAAAAGTCGATCAAAGAAGTTAAGCCTTTTGCAATACAATTTGCTCGTGAAAATGATGAACAAAACGAAATGATCGCTCATTTTGCTGCATAATGAGCACCCCAAATCAATTTCTAGTAGCTTATAGTGAGACTTCAATCAAAGGAGTGTTTCCTAAGTTGAAACACTCTGCATAGGCCTTTGTTCAGGGTAACTGGGCATAAAATGTTCATTCAATGCTTACCAGGCAGAACAAAATTTTAAATTCAGTTATAAATTTCAAATTCAATGAGATCAAAATCAGGCTGAGCAGACAGACAGGAAGCCGAGATTTGGAAAACCCGTTCAAGATGTTGGAAGCAAGTTTTCGTCTTGTCTTGATCCAGGATTTCAAAAGATTATACCTCGGCGCTTATCTTAGGAAGTTGGCTTCGATTCGCCATAAAATGCAGGTCTATGGACTGCAGACACTGCTACTCTATGGCTTGATAGGCGCAGAATTTATAGATGAAGCTAGTAATTCAGACACGCCCTTTGGCAGGGGTTTATTTTGTAGGGTGGACTAGCTTCCTGAAGCATCCGTAGCAGCCTAGCCAGGTCTGGGTTTGCCAGTTAGGTTAAATATAAATTGCAAATTAAGTTCATGGAGTCACAACAATTGATCTGGAAGCACTCTGTGACACAGTATTCAATACCTGTATCATCTATTTCTTATTTCACAATTCATTCGATTATTTTATGTAAAGAATACCGTTGTATAACTACCATCACTACAACAAATGATCGGCTGTAACGATCAAGTTATTTTAGCTAGCAAATTTTGCGTCATGCCAAATGATGTTGTATGTACATGCAAATAAAGCTGTCGAGGGTTTATTACGATCATTACATCGAAACTTGCGATAGGCTTTAGTGACTGACGAGGTAGCATTATTTCCCCATGAAATTGAAGAAAGAGCCACCTCAGGTCGTCATTCAATAAATTAAGCGTCGGCAATAATCTAACATTAAAAAGTAAATGGACGATTTGGAGCCGCACGTGTACAAGACCAGGTAAAGTTGGAAGGTACAGAGGGCGCCGCAGACCCGAAATCAATCCATCTGACTTTATTTTCGACATAATAATACAAGAAAGTTACTAATAAACATCTTCAATTCACAATATTCAATGTGGGTGGGGTCCCTAAAAACAAAGCTTGAAACTCGTAAGCCGCCAAATATGACAACCTCAAATTGCAGCTGAACATCAGAGAATAGAGAATCAGAGAATATTATACGAAATAAAAGCCAAATTCACCCAACGTACCTCTATAACCTTTTCTTCCTCTTCCTCGGATAATCTGTATCCGTTTTCTCCATACTGGTTTTCGCTTATGTTTT